GGGGGGGGGGGTACTACTATAAGCTCTTTGAAAGATTATGTTATGATAATTCGTCCATACATGTCGAGAGTAACTTTGACGAAGCATTCACCAAACCTGGTGGGCCATCACGAAACACGGATTTATTGAGAGCAAGCCTTACGTGTAGATGCAAGCTGACAGAAAGACCTCGAAATATTCCTAACAAGGAACTGGTCGTAACTCTACGTGCGCACATATTGATGCCGGTCCTATTATCACAATTTGAAGAAGTGCCTGTGAAATGTAAAACCAGGGATGTGTCAATTGAAACAGAAGTTAACATGGAATTTTGTTGCAAGACTGCCGCTGAACTGCCTGAATGCTGCCGATTTTTTCTCGTCGAGAAGCTCCGGAGACCGAAACCCAGTGAATCAGACCAGCGCCCCCGAATTTCAACGCACGTGTAAGAACGGTTTTTCGCAAGGCTAAGCTTGAAACTATCTTTCTTGATGGCTCCGAACAGGATATGGCCTTTGCTGCTACTCCTTTGCACACGTAGCTATGTGTTTGCCTCGGCGTCTTGCAACTTTACCAGTATCATTTTGACCCCGCCTGATGCTATTTTGAAAATCAATACTAGCTATGCGGTCACGTAAGGAAAAACTTTGAACTCTGCTCTTATGTTTAACTCAGTAAAACTCGTTTTAGTGCTGTTACAACTTGCCACAACCTCCAACAGCCGATATTCGAATTAGTCATCACGGGTGCCAATGGATCCACTGCGCAAATCACTCTTGGACAACAGCAGTACGTGTGTGGCTACTATTTCGCGACTGTGAATTTGTACTCTCTTGATTCTTGGCTTGACAAAATATGCTTTTTGTAGAGGAACCCAGCATTACAACATGGCAGGAACACTGACACTGACATCGTTAAATTTTATCTCGCCTTCCGCTACTCTTAACTTTTCTTTGATATACGGTGTGTCTGGTACAGACTCGTTAAGCTATGTTATTACCAACGTTAGCATCGTTCCTCCTGTGCCTTCTGCACCTCTTGTGACCCCTATAACAATCGCTTCTGTGGGATTCATACCTAATGGTGGTTCTGTTGGTGTCTCCGCTCTCACATACAACTCATCGTACGCCATGAGTGTATCCACGAACGTGCCGCTCACCACTTACACGTCGGTGGGAATGTCGATGCAAACAAGTGGCACTTGTGGAGTTCGGACAATGAATTATACCAGTCTGTAAGCTAAACTTGATATAATTTGTTGACGCAAATATCTCAAACAACGCACCGATAGGAACTATTCGAACGACTCGTCGACTTTGAGTTCGAACGTTGCGACAGTCGATTTGTCTGACTTTATCAACACATGGTCTTTTGGGGGTTCTTGTATGGTCAACGTCACTCTTATTGCTACCGAATCATCTAGCAACACATTCACCTCAGTTGTCACTTTTTGGAAAAAAGAGATTGTCAGCGCCACCAACTCAGTATCAAACGGAAGCTATACTCCAGTCATCGCACCTGCGACATCTCCAGCAGGAGTTACAACCACTGCAATTATCTCTAATTTAAGTTCGACCATCTCGGCAGTCTCTATCTCTACTACGACAGTCGGAGTTGCTGCATCTGTTGGTACAACTATTGTTAGTGGATCAACGAGTATGGGAAGTGCAGCGGTGGGAGCTGCAGGAACAGTCGGAGCATCACTGCTAGTCATGAGTCTTCAAAATATTGCGACCACTGGCATGCTAACAATTTCGACTCCCGGATACTGTAAGATTCACCTATCTCATCGGTGTCTTCTACATTTTCACCTTCGTTCTCATTAGATTCAAGTTACGTATCTCTATTTGCTTGGTCTACAGGAACCATACCTCTACCATATGTAGTGGAATTTGCTGTAGATCGGATACCATCGGTCTTGGATTCAGGCTACAAAAGCTCGACGGACGATACAGCCGAAAGACTGAAGATAAGAAGGCGAGATCTCAACAGCAGCTCGATATCTTATTCAGCTCCTTCTGATGCAACTTCCAACTGGAGTCTTGCCAAGTTTGCGTATTTCCTTAACATTGCTCCTGAGCAACTGTTTTTTGTGACTTTGGGAGGCATGGGTGTTATCTTGGCGCTAATAACTGGAATTGCTGGGATCCTCTTTGTATGTTTGCTCTTATTGAGATTGGTATTTCCAGTTCAGATTGAAAAAATCCTGAGTCGATATGCTGATTATTACATTGGTACGTCATATGTATATGTACTGCAACTCCAACTGAACGAGACCTCTCACCAAATTTCATTAGCCACCATGATCATCGTGTTCGCAGTCTTGCATGAGCAGATAACCGCCGTCACGATTTATCAGCTAACACTGGCTCTTATCTGTCCGCCTTGGCTTACAATTATGGCAGCTGCTGTGCTCGTTGTCGTTGATTTTCTACCCAGCGCTCTGTTGACCTTCATGATAACTGTGCATTACTCTGCTGATCGCTTGTTCAAAGACCCATCCCTCAAAGCTCGCTTTGGATATCTCTATACGAATTTGAAGATGGACATGGTCTGGTTTGCGGCTATTGTGTTGGCTAGGAATATTCTGTCAGGAACCATATTCGCTACATTGGGACAGTTGCCAATAGCTCAAGTATCGTGTCAGATTGCTTCAGCAACATTATGGTGAGCATCCCGTCCTTCATAACGCAGAAGATTATTAGAATCTAACGCCTTAACTCAAATTATCCCCAATTTCTACCCACAGGGCAGTATCCATCCTCGTCTTAAAGCCTTACGACACCAGATTCGACAACCAAGCAAACTTTTGGGTAGCAGTATGCAAAGCGATATCGCTGATATTGCTTGCCTTCCAAGCAGCCCCCTTCGTGCCGCAAAACTATGTCCGTGATGGGCTCACGATAAGCTCAATGGCCGTCTCTGGTCTCTCGACCGTAATCATAATCATGTGGATGCTTGTATCCGGCTACTCACAGCTATCAACGTACATCTCGGTTTATACGCGTGGAAAACGACTAGATAATTATGAGAAGGGTAGTCCATTACAATCCATGAGCCGGTCTGTTGCCAGAGCTCTATTGACCCAAGAAAGTGTGGTTTCTATGTCTGAAACGTTGGATTCGGTCTCGAGACACCCGATGGTTGAAAACAGCACTTGAGGCGTTATTATCCCAGTATCATCATAATATAGATTGTATGAAATGGAGGTCAAAACAAATATACCTATGGTAATCACTATAGTTTATGTGGGCCAACCCGTTTTGCAGAAAATGGATAGAAAACTCGGTGCTTTGAACACGTGTGCATATATCAATTGGTTGCTAGAACTCTGTGTTGACTTGGTTTTGTACAATACGTGATAGTGGGCGCTCTTGAGTACTCGTAAACTCTCTCGTTATTAAACAATTGGTTATTGCGGCATCTCAACCTCACAATCTGACATACCACTCTGCACAATTGAAGAACACGCACCAGACGAAAGCGACAAAGTAGGAACCAAAACTTCATTCAATCTCATGACTGACGACATCAAGAGAGTTTTCCAGACCCTAAGTTTTGACCGAAAACCAATA